TCCAGCATCTCCAGACTCGCTGTAATTGCAGAAGCACCAAGGAATAAAAGTATTTTCATCTGAGAAAAATCGGGGAGCACATTGGACAAAAAAAGTTTTGATTATGAATGAAGATTCAGGTATCTGAGTAATTCCTGGAATAATGACAATACTGCATCTCGGAAATTTAGAAAGCATAAATAAGAATCGAGATATCAAAGCAACAATGATAAAGATACTAGCTCGGAAACTTACACCTTTACTCAAACCAGGACGATTAGAAACGTTTGATGTCGTTCTTTTTATATATACTTTTTTTTATATACTTGTATTGAACAAGATGTAAAAGACTAAAACAGAATGTATGATTAGGTCCGCCGTTGTCCATGAAAACTGGATTTTTGTTGTTAACGAAACCATTTTTGTCTTCCAATTCGAGTGCATAGAAAATTGCCTCTGAATGACGATGATTCGTTCTTTTGAATTGAAAAGAGCTGCTGAAAAGGTTTTTGAATATATACTAAAAAACATGAATTATCTGCGACTGCGCGAAAGAAGCAATAATACAAAGGTGTGAAACAATGGGGAAATAACCCGCTCAGAATATTTAATAGAAATTCTTCCAAATAATTTTCTTCCAATGTCACTTTTGGTATTCATGAAATTGTATATTCTTTACCGGAAAGGCATGTTTATTTTCATTTTTTATTTTTTTTAAGAAGCCATTATTTTTTTATATTTCCAAATTCTTCCCTCGTCTTTCATAAATAAAAAAAGATAATCCTCAAAATTGTTTTTTTTTTTTTTCTTGCTTCCGTTCTTAGCTTTTCTTTTCTCCAAACCTATGCATATATATTTAATAATCTTAGCTCTATCTGACAACAGTACTTGAGCATCAAGTAAGAATTGAATTCACAAAAACTTGACTGACATGTTAATCATCACACTATTTCAGTTGATCCCTAGCGTGAGCGTTGTCTGGTACCAGCCATAAGCAGGGGGGGGGGATTTAGGTGAAGAGAGGCCCTAGGTTCTTCCACTCATTAGGCTCCTCCAAAACCCAAAGAAAGTCCTATGACAGTGTCAAAAATATTATACACCTTGTCTGGAGGACCCCTAGACTTTGAGGCCCTAGGCTGGAGGACCCCTAGACTTTGAGGCGCTAGGCTGGAGGACCCTCTAGACTTTGAGGCCCTAGGCTGGAGGACCCCTAGACTTTGAGGCCCTAGGCTGGAGGACCCCCTAGACTTTGAGGCCCTAGGCTGGAGGACCCCCTAGGCTTTGAGGCCCTAGGCTTTAACCTGCTAAGCTTATAGGAAAATCCGGTAATATTCACAAATTCATACAAGGCCGGAAAATGCTTAAGAAATATTTGATCAATACAACAAAGATGAAGATACTATACCAAATAAGAACGAGGAAAATGTTAAATTTTCCTCTAACTTACTCTTCATCTGCAATATGAATCTAATATCGGTTTACTCAAAACTACAATAGATTCTTTACTCACCTCTCCCAGGAGTTGATATCTCGTGACGAAAATAACTTGAAATAGTTTAGTGAGTCGACAATGTAAAAAAAAAACTCTACGGTCGGCGTCCGTTTCTGTAGTCGAATCTCAGTTTTATTTTTTTTGTTTTTTGTTTTTTGTTTACGTTTTTTTTTGTGGGGTAGGGAGGGGTTTATTTTTGTGTATTTTTCATTTTTCGTTTTTCTTACTTCCTGTAATAAGATTTCTCTCAGTCGCGTCTTGTTTTCTTTATTTCCGTACTTGAATTTAATTTGAAATTCGAGTTTAGGTTTTTTATCTCGTTTCTCATCAATTTCTTTGCTTGCGTGGGTTGAGAATGTACGGCTGAGGAATTTAACAGTGGAGAAATGTATGGATGGGGAGAGAACAAGTCGAGAATGGTGCAGGTGGAGAATACGGAGATAACGTTTTCGCTTAATTCCAAAATTTTCTCTTTATTTCTGTCATCCATTTTTCCCCATTTTCTTCTTTTTTATAAACGATCTTATATACGAGGAGTGCAGAAAAGTTTTCAACTCGATTTGTTGTGACGTGGAGTCTGGCAAGACACAACACTTAACTCGACAATCCTGATAGTAGTATTCAATACTCAGCTAGACATGTAACTCTAATATTATTATCTTCTTCTTTCTAGACAATTACCCAGGACTACTTATCATGAATAGATCAACCCATTCATGATAGCAAGGAGAGTAAATGACTCTTACCACAACACCGACGTAGAAGAAAAAAAGAAAGGAAAAGAAATCTGATCATTGGTCATTTGGTTAAATCTGGAAAAATGAGAACTTTTCAGCAACTTGTTTTTTTTTTGTTTTTTCGTGTCGTCCAGAGTTCGCAGTATAATCATAATTTGAAATCAATTTATTTCAGGTCTCAGCAACTTTTGTACGCCATCCACGTTCGTTTTTATTTTTTTAAATTAGAAACTTGATGCTGATTTAAATTAAATACGAAAGCGTATCATATAATGGATATTAGCAAATGATACCGCCACATTTAATTAAAGAATGAGAAAATTACTATTTCAGAATTGCAAGAAGAGCAATTTAAATTTGCTAATATTCCCTTCCATAGCTGTAACGTGGAAAAAATGTATTGATATTGTAACAAAATCTCATTTTTCCAGGAGAGGATGCAGACATCAATATATTTTGAAACTTATTCAGTCAAGAAGTAAAATATCTTAATTTGAATGAAAGTTACGTGTCTTGTGTTTTTTGTTTGTTTGGTTTTTTTTTTTGTATTTTTAATAATTTCAATCGATACAAAATCTTCAGGTCACTAGGGGTTATCAAAATCAAACAACTACAAACATTTTAAGGAAGATTTTTTTTTCTTTTTTTTTACAGTAAAGCCCACCCTGTACAAGGCTCTAGGGGTTAGTTAAGGGGTAGTTTATAGGGATAGGAGGGGAAGATAACGGTTCATCTAGACTTAAACAGGTTTAGATTGTATTGATTGGGGAAACATCTTGTTGGAAATCGGTTTCATAGGACAGTGGTTAGCGGGAAGAAGCTCTTTGAATGGAACTTACTTGGAATACGGAGAGAATTAACGTGGTTGGTTACGATGTAAGTGTCATGGCGGGTCCTAGCTGTGAACGTCAGACCTGGCAGAACCAAGAAATGTAGTCCGTCCGAGCACTTTCCATGCAAATAGCAATAGAGCAGTGAGAGACTGTCTATGAGAGAGAGAGAGAGAGAGAGAGAGAGAGCGCGGTTGGAGGGTAAAAGATAATTCTTCTCAAACAACGACGCATTTGAACTCTATCAAGACTATGGAAAGAGAGGTCTGGGGAGCTCCTGTCTATATTTCTGAGATGAAGTATTCTAATTATTCACACTCTTTACATTATTCGTACTTTATTGTCATATTCCCAGTGGATAAAGAGGTTGGTTACATCCAGTGACTAGACCAAAAGAGTTGTGAGTTCAATACTGTTATTCATAATGACGGTCGTCTTTGAGTATAGAATCCAGAGGTTAGCAGTGAATATTTCGAAGACAGTAGGGAAGCGTAGTTCAGGTTAGCAGTGGATATCCCGGTAAAAGTAGCAGAGCGTAGTTCTTCCTTCTGTTCCTCTTCGCCTGACAAGCTGGCACTGGACATTCGGATAGAGTAAACAAAATGGCCTCCTTTATACACGACGGATTGAATATTCTACGTCTTCTGATTGGTTAACCTTCTATTGGTGGACTATAAAGTGAGTTAAGTCATTTGGGCTAGCTCACTAGTACATAATATACACAAAAAAACTGCAACAAATACCAGGTCACAGCAGTGGTGAACCAAACTTGGGGAGTTGAGTTAAAGAGAAATAACTAAGACATCCGGAAGAGGCAAGGCACGTGGAACTAGATTACTAATCTACCCCGGTGGAAGAAATAAAGCGTTCGGTTCCAAATTCTAATCACCTGAAGAAAGCGGGAGCGTACAACGGCCGAAACGTTGTGAATATGACAATGGATATGAGGATAATGTAAGTAATCATAATATCTCATCTCAGAGATATAGACAGATATTGATATGTGTTATAGTCCTGATACTTTTTGATCAGATTTCGTATTATACCTACAAATATTAGAGGTTCTAACCATAAAAACAAACAACTTCGCATGAATATAAATTCATTTAATTTTAGAAAAAAGACTAAATATACTTCCTGGCTGAAAAAAAAGTTACAAGACACCACAGACTGACGCGAAATTCTAAAAACAAAATTAAATTCAAAATAATAGACCGGACGCCACAGAATTTAATGAAATGGAATTTAATGAAAAGAAAAGTGGAAGGCAAAGTCTTTAAAAATATCGATGAATTAAAAGAAGAATTTATAGATATCGATAAAAATTGAATTTCTAAGCTAATATTATGAAAAATAGAATACCATACGGTAAACCACTTCAAATAAGTTTTTGAAAAAATCAGATTAATAAAAATTAATTCATAGCATTTAATTGTATCTTTTTATATCTACCTTCATTTTAATTAAAAAGTGCGCAAATTAGAAATTAATTGTGAATGAGACTAAAATTTCTTATAAGTTACTAGATTCGTTTAATGCGTTCTCGATTAATGCGTATCTTTTAGCCGCACTGATCGAGAGATTATATATATATATATATATATATATATATATATATATATATAGAGAGAGAGAGAGAGAGAGAGAGAGAGAGAGGGGCAGACAGACAGACATAGAAAAAGAAATTTTGAAAAATAAAAACAACAATTCGAGATAAATATAAATACCTTGATATACATTTTAATCATTTCACCCCAAGTAATGCAATAAAGCTACTATGGCGCAAGGTTACTGAGTGTGTGTGTGTGAGAGAGAGAGAGAGAGAGAGAGAGAGAGAGAAGAAAGAAAGAAAGAAAGAAAGAAAGAAAGAAAGAATAAAGGAATTAAGAAGACAGAAGATAGCGATTAATATTGCATTTAACTTTTTTAAGAGCAAAGCTGACATACAACAAAATTACAGACTGGCATAGATAGATAGAAAGAAAGAAAGAAAGAAAGAAAGAAACAGACTGAGATAGATAGATAGATAGATAGATAGATAGATAGATAGATAGATAGATATAAACAGACTGAGATAGATCAAAATAGAGCAAAAACTTCTTGAATATGTAATTTCAAATAAATATTTTCTTGTAAATTCAATATGGTGAGAAAATATTAATTTATTTTTCCTTTAGTTATGTTTTATTTAGAACTTTTTATTTAATTGTTTATCTAATTTGGTGCGAGTAAATCGATCCGTTCTTTATATAACTGAGTATATTTTACGCATCAAGAAATGAAAACCAATTCATTGAAGGATATGTTCAAAATACACACGCAACATATATATATATATATATATATATATATATATATGTGTGTGTGTGTGTGTGTGTGTGTGTGTGTGTGTGTGTGCGCGCGAAGTATATAATAAATAAATATAGATACAAGCAACCATACATTCGCTGCATATATTAAAATTTTTATTTAGTTTTTGCTATGAATAAAACTGCTCAACGTGGGAATACAAAGCTATAAATTATATATATTAATAAAAACTTATAAGTACTTTCGGCTTAAGGTAATATATATATATATATATATATATATATATATATATATATATATATCAAAGTATATAATTGGTATACACGGAATGAATTCCAATAACCAACAATTACTATTCTTAAAAGAGTGCTCAATACAAAGTAGAGCAGATATAATTATTTTTATAAAAAAAATTATAACATAAGTATGTTATAAAATCACTACAAAAATAGCCATTTTGTTTCAACACACTCTGTGTCTTATCAAGTGATGATGTTGAAAAAGAAAATAAATGGTTTTAAAAGTTTCAGATTAATTAACGATCCTACACTGGGGGAAACATTGTTACAAAAGCTAGAATAACCAATCAAAACGAAGTATAGAAAGATTCAAAAGCTTGACAACGAAATCCTGCTCTAATAGCTATTCATATCTTTAAATACGTGTAATATTAAAAATAATTTATACTAACTAATAATTATAAATTTACATGATAAAATTTAATATTAAAATTAAAAACTGGCAATTTTAAAAACCAAATTTAATCACTATTAAGTTTAAAACTACAAAATTATTGATAAAAGAAAAATATATATGTGTTTATTCAATTCATTTCTTCATTGAAATTACGTTCGAGAAGACCAGACGCTACAATACATCCGGTCATTTGATAATACATGTATATATATTTTTTCTCTTTTTCCCTTCTTTTCCGTTTTTATTTTAAAGTTTGTGAATATGGTCTTAAACTCAAAAATATATATGTAATTGAATATCTCTATGTATAAAAGGCAGGATGTGTGTGTGTGTGTGTGTGTGTGTGTGTGTGTGTGTGTGTAACGAATGCACGGCCGCAATTTTCGACGGATTCGCACAAAAATTTACATGCACATGCTCCAAGTTAGCGAAAAGGCCAAGACTGACTTTGCATTTCCCAACTCCCATCGATAGTGGAAATAATCGATTTTTTCATGCTTCTACGGCAGTTTTCATGTAGTTTGCGGCTATTTTCTACTGGCCAGAGTGAGAGCCTATAGCTGGCTGCCACAAATAGACAGGAAGATTCTGTTGGCCAACGTGAGAGCCAACAGCCGACTGACACGAATGTTAACTAGCATGCTAGCATGCAAAAAAATATCGATAGCTGCATTCGTCACAAGTGGGAAAAATTTAAATGTGCACGGCACTTTACTCCAATTAGCACATTTGCTTGCTTAAACTCAGCGTTGATTCTGATTCCGCAGAACTGGGTTGGGTGTGAAAAAGTATTTGTTGTTAACATTCTTTTTTCATTCGGTTTTTCCAGTTACAAGTCCTTTTTTAAAGCTGATCGTTTTGTGTTCATTTTGTTTAGTTCTTTTTTCGTAACAGATTTAATGTTTAGTATAGAGCTTAGAAAAAATTAGCAGTGTGAGATAGGCAAGAAGTAAGGCATGTAGCAACATCAGCACGGCAAAGGGCACTCCGTTAAAGGCAAGGAAGGGCAAAAATATTTTAAGTCAAGTGATAGCGATTGCTGTATGAGTCGTACGATTTTTGAATCAAGCACGGGCAACGCCGGGCCATGCTGCTAGTGTATGATATATATGTTGTAGTAATTGGGGAATTGCTTTCATCTCCCATTATTGCTGAAATAACTAAAATAGTTTTAGTCAAGTATGGTTCAAAATTCCGCTAACAACCGATCAGTAGTTTGTATAAATCAATTCTTCGCTGTATCAAATGCTGCGATTGATGCCAAATTTGCAAAAACTCTGTTTTAAATAATAAAAACATCCATTTAACAAGTTTTTAAGAAAAGCCATTGCTTTAACCATATAAAGTCTGCGTGGCCGGTACTTCATCAAAATCTATCAATTGCGATTCCAATACAAAAAAAAATTCGGTCAATATCGGAAATATGAATTTGTTTTCTGAAAAAATGAAATCTTGCTTAGATCGTGACCTTTTCAACACTTTATCGTATAAATGGAAAAAGTAACTCCAGATTTAATTACCTTGTAATACTGTACGTTAACATGCATGCATTGAAATTTCGAAATATTTCATAGAAAATATGCGCTTCTCCGACAGGAATCAAAACTGTAGCACAAATGAGAGCCAACATTTGATGAAATATTTGATCAGATCTGCTCACGAAATGTAACTTAATGATTATTCATTGATGATCGTTCGAGGAAGATCGTCGAAGATTTGTTGTTTATAAACAGTAATTAGGACTTTGTTAACAAGATGCTTCTTTGTGACTGAATGGTTAACAGCACGTCGAATCAAATAATGTTTCCGTTGTGGTTACAGGTTCGATTCCTGTCAAAGTAGCACATATTTTCAACAAACTTTCTCGAACATTCAGGCCGGCAAATGTAATTAATATTGTTTATTTAAGAAACAGAGCCTTTACTTAAATAAATTGAATCTATTAAGGTCAACTCATAAACAGAAAATATATTAAATAATTGTCGGTCTTCATGTATATATATATATATATGTGTGTGTGTGTAATCCTTAAAACAGAAATGCACGCATTATTAATTCTTTACCGTTCATCATTATAATAATCAATGATTACATCAAAACAGACAATTCTAAAATGGTTTCCTTTCAATTCTGTTATGAATTGAAAATATTCAACAATATATATTTCACCATGTCCTTTCCTTCTCTGTAGTTGACGCTGTCTACCGACACTATTCTACCATTTGTTCATGAATTGAATATTTCTGTCACATCTGGTGTTTCTACTATGTATTTAAAGATTCTTGATAAAACCCAAAGAAAAATCTACAATTTTATCGGTCCTGACCTGGCACTTCGGCTTCATCATCACTGCCATAACGTAGCTTCCCTGTGCCTTTTATATAAATATTTTCATAATAATTCTTCTGATGGGTTTTCCTCTCTGGTATCTTGAGTTTATGAATTTAAGCTTAGTACTAGTTTAGCAGCTAAGTCTCGTCATTTTACAGTTGTAACCGTAAGTTCTATGCAAACATTATCTTCTCTTGCACCTTGATGACAATCAAGTTCTTTATTCATGTATTGCCAAACTAAATTTTCTAACTGTCAGATATCCTCACAAATATTTATTAAATTGAATCTTATCTGAATGTACCTCTGGCATAATTGTTATCAGCAGTGAAAGTGAAATAAACAAGCAGAGTTCAAATTCCGGCCTAGTTTTTGAGAAAGGAATGAACACGTAACTATTCCCCCAGCTATGGGTTAAATAGCAGTGTAAAAGAGCGAAAACTCTAAATTCCGAAGTGTGGAGAAGACAACGGGAAAAACGACTATTATCTTACCAAAAGAATTAAAGCATTTCACAGATAATAAAGAAAAGAACTCTGTGCATGTCATAGTTGTCTTCATCCTCAAGAGATATGGCATTAAAAAAAAAACAAATTTCATTTACTACAAAATTTCAAGGCGCCCATTAAGGATTAAATTTGGCCGACAAGATAAAGATACCAACAATCTCTCAGTGGTAATTGGCTTCTAAATAATCCTTTTTGTGTTCCATCGACATACAGTTATATATGGCGTCGATGGCAACAGTCAGCAGCGGAAAATAATCTTAAAACACAGCGCCGGTCATGGCTAAAACAACCGATGCACGATCGGCACGGTTTTTGACAACGACCACAGTAGTAGATTACTGTGAAGTCATCCACCGTTGGGCCATTTGCGTCTTTATCTAGCCTTTATGGACCTCCTCATAGCTCGTTGCTCCCGTGAAAACAGCAGCTCTCCACCCCACTCGATCCCGGGTAACTGCATCCTAGTTCGCAACACTGATAGAAAATTCCATCATGAACGTTTTCCACTGGTCCTTGAAACGAAGCTTGGGTTGACCAACGTTACGCGTGCCTACAAACAGATCCCCATACAGTGGCAGGTGATTTTGTTCAATCTAAATAATCCTTGTTTGAGTCCCATCGACATGCAGCTATAAGAAGAACGATAAACGAATACCCCTTTTTTGTTTAATATCAGTTTACATCGTTCCTATTTCAGATCTCTTTTGTAATGAGACAAACTTTTTAATCTCGGATTAACTTGATCGTTGAGATTAGGATTAAAGAACGCTTTATTTATTCAGACGACATGATCTTACATCTTCGAACATCTTTAATCAGAAGCAACCACAATGTGACTATATCATTAGAAAGACTTCTCAACCTATGAGACATCGTTTGTATAGCAATTGCGAATGTGTGTGTGATTTTCTTATTGTTCGAAGATTCTAATCGATTGAAAAATATCCTCACATTTTATCTAATAATAACATTCGATTTTCCTAAAGATTTTGAAGATTTTCAATAAAACGTCATTGAACCACAAACATCGGATATTTTTCGTTGTAAAATATTTCTTTTCTTTTTTGAAAATGTTTCATTTTCAAGTAATAATACAAGTGTATTTTTTTAATGGAAGGGACATTTGATATCTGCATTTACATTCTCTTGTTAAATATTAACAACGTAAAATTTCCCAGCGCACTATTTTTTTAGATGCAAGCTGAATATACGTTAGTTTGTTT